CGCAATTATTTAATGTAAAACGCATTATTATACTGCGTTTTACAAATGTATCTTAGTAAAACGTAGTATAGTACTGCGAATTACAAAAAAAAAAAAAATTAAGTAAAACGCAGTACTATACTGCGAATTACTTTAACGGCAAAATTTCCGTTAAAGTAATTCGCAGTATAATACTGCGTTTTACTCATTTATGTAACTTTTTTTTTTTTAAAGTAGTACAAAAGTGTTTTTTGTCCAAAAAATGATACATGTTTTTAGATCTTTTCCACCGAACACTAGGCAATAAGTAATTTATCTGTATCTAGACAGTTAAATCAAGGGTATCTCTGGATGCAACCATGTTGTAGTTTTATCTGATGTCAAAGGCTTTTGGTAAAAAAGCACTTGTTTCATGGTTTCTGACCTAATGTATGCACATTAACTCAGAAGTAATGTGTCAAAACCTTCAACCAGATTAGAGGATTAAACGCTCCAGGTTCTGAAGGTTCTTGTGAAAAGCAATTTTACGTCTTCCATTCTAATTTAAGCATGATTAATGGTTAAATATATCAATTTCTGCTCTTGTGTGGATGAGATATTGATCTTTAATTGAACTCTGCTACTGCCTGTTGATTATGATCATTGTCCTTCTAGGTGATCTGCACACTTGGTGGTGCTGTCTTTGTAGCAATTTTGTTGTTACGTGTGCTCTGGTCGGCTGTTTCCTACTTTCAGTCTACTAGCTCAGGTTTTAACGATGGTGGGAGTTCATATGGCAGTACACAACCCGCAGCATGATTGAGCCTAGCCACATACCTTTCATCTGGTTAATCATTAACAGTACAAATTAATTCTTAAAGCAACAAAAATTGTTATTAGCAGTAAAATGTTCTGTAAGTAATAGTGACTTGATTTGGCAATGTGAATTTTACATGTTGGAAGGTTTTGGCAGCTTCTACAGGGAGTTGATTCATTTTTTGCTTGGAGTTTGCACATATTTTCAAATGACCATGAAATGACAGATGATGAAGATTTGTGGGTTTCGTCCTCTTGAATTGTGTATCTTGAACTAGATATGAGGCAATTTAGTTTACTTGTTGTGCTAATTGCATGCTGCCTTAGCTAAAAATGGTCAAGCAGTATCTCTCTTTACTGGTTATATCAGTATTTCTCTTCAAGAAGGAAACAGCAGCAGTTTTAACAGACAGCAAACTTGAGTAAAATCGTCAGAAAAAAAGGAAAACATGGGAAGGATTCAAATCCCACTAGAACTTAAAAATACCTTTGGTGATTTCCTCTGTTCTAAGTCTTGGTGGATAGAGTTTATTCGAAAATACACAATTACCTACTAGTAGTATATTAACAGACATGCGCGTAAGCTAAATTGAAGTCTGAACACCACTGTTATTATAGATAAATAAGAGTGCCTTCTACTCCGTGTTACTTCTTCCCGTGCTTGGAAAATCTTATATAATGAACAGTCACGAGATCTCTAACCGTAATTTCATAACCGAACCACTTATTAATATCTGAGCTATACACTGATATGGTACATTTATTGAATTGCACAAGGTTCATTACTATTTTTTAATTGTGGTAGTTTTGGCAAACAAGAAAAGCAGAACACACAAATGCTTTTAGAACAACAGGCACAAACTTCAGCTTCTTGATATACCTTAATAACCATTTCAAATAGGCATCTTCACCACTATACTATTCATCATATAAGGTGATTTGTTTCTCGCTGTCCTAAAGATTTTCAACAACTCTGCCTGATCAGAAACAAGCTATCTTTAAATCAAGGAACAATTATACATTTTGCAGTCCCCTGAGGAAGCATTAGCCTCCTAAGAATTTATTTGCCTTTGATGCCGATTATTTACTTTATGCTCTTTCAAATCCACCGCCAATCTGCATATGCAACCAATCTGGTGATGTACCCCCAGCATATTCCCTCGTACCTTGTGAACCAAATGCCATGGCATTTGCCTCGAATGTTTGCTGCCCGAGCTGGAAACAACCAGAGTACCTCGTTATGAATTGAAAATATTTCTCCAAGTATCTTATTTTTAGAATTACAGAATGTATTTCCTTTTTGAGCTTAGAATATATGCCTTCTCTCTCTTCACAATATTGCTTTGGTTTTTCTTAACACCTTCTAACTTATATCAGGAGCTAAATTTCAACATGCTGTTAAGTGATGCCTCTGTGGGTCCTTCTTATACACACGCATTGCAATCTTGTATCTTCAAACTATGCTATACATTGTAAAGCGAGATGACAATAAGAGTAACTCAAAGAAACCTGAACAATTGCAAACTGTTAAGCGATACAGTAGCTCAGAAATTTTGCGTGCTGTTATTTAATCACTAATTATAATTTCAAGGAGCTAATGCCAAGCAAGTCTCGGAAGTCGGAGGTGACGGTTTGCTAAATGTGGGCACAAGGCCCCCAACCTCCTCCAAACACCAAAAATCTTAGTACTACATCCAAGATTGACGGGGAGTTATGCTATGAAAAAGACAGATATCAGCAAGTTAGAAGGTAGCTGAGGTTCTAGTGGAGTTAACAGTGTTCGACAAACAAGATTATATGTGTAGTTTCCATAAAGAACATGAGCAAATTACTAGTTCGTTATCGACATGAACAACAAAGAATAAAATACAACTGGCATGGAAAGACTTTCTGATATAACACTTACATCTTTAGTAGGAAATCCTTCGATGTTTGGGGGTACTCTTGTATTAACTGCTTCAAGCTTCATTGATAGGAACTGAGGATTCACGAAAAAATGTTTAGTGTAGAAGTCTCAACTAGAACAGTGCAACAAGATAGGTGGATAACATACCTCAACCTGGCGTTGTAGTGATTGGACATAATTGATTATCTCATCAAGGACGAGAGCTTTTCCAATTACCTGTAACCAAACAACGACAAACTGACTTTCCCCATTGCATTTCAAAAGCAAATGTTACATATCACTGAAATTGAATTCACGTTTTGATGTTAATTTATGTGAAGAGAATTAGAGGTTAAAGTCCCACCATCCTAGCACCAGCTATGGGGCTAGAATACAGGCAGCTTTAGAGACATCAGGTTCATTTCTGCTCTATGTTCCTTAAGAAATTAGAAGTTAAAACCAGCACCATTCTTGCACCAATCATGTGGCTGGACCGCAGATAGCTTTAGACTCATTAGGTTCATTACACCATATGTTCCTGACAAATGGAACAGCGTGTACAGTTAGAGAGTTCTTTGAACGCCAACAAATGCTTGATATCAGGAAGGCTGGTACAGTTCTGAGGTCAAGTAGGAGAGGAGAGCAAGTAAAGACCTTTGGCATAGAACAATATGACGAAACCTACATGATGTTGCTTTAATAAGTAGTTCAAACAGATGGCTCATTTGCATCCACTTAGCTGAATATTACAAATTGGAAGCTGATCGTAATGACAAACAAGAAAGGTAAGTTCCAAGGTTGTACTTGCATGGGAGCTCTTGATGTAATTGACACGTCAACTGAAGAGACCAACATTGATCCAATTTGACTGTAGTGCAATTTCTGAAAGAAATTTTGTGAGCCTTTGTTTGAAAAGGATGATAAGGCGAGCAGGTTTTGCCTGTGAGACTCAACCCTATCATCTCAACCATAAAATAGGGATATTCCGCAGTAAAGTCCAAAACCACCAGGAGTATCAATCATGCATTAGATTTTGTTTTTCTTTTTTTTTTTGGTACTTTCAGATTCATCTAATAACTAACAAAGAAACAAATGGAAAAGCAGCTGATCAGAATGAAGGTTGCTTCAGATATTTCAACAGTAGAAAGATAAAGTAAACTGTAGCATACCTTGTTACAACCAGGGACCAAGTCTTGTAGGATTTTCATCCTTTCACTGATCTTTTCTCTCCTGGCCTGCAAACCAAAATGGTCCAATCAGCAAATTCCTTTATTGCTCATACAGAACCATCAATTCCAAATTTTGACTTTTCCACATAATCCCATAGTGCATTTGGAAAATTAATGGTCGGGTAAGAAAGTGTGAATGATGAAAATAATGAGGAAGAATTACTCTTTCTGCTAGGCTGTGACTATCGGTAGCTTGACCTCTCCTTGCTCGCACATGAATGTAATCTTTAGGTGGTTCAGCTGACTTTGCAGGTTGGTCTGCAGATTTTCCTGAATTCCCTTCCCCATCACCTCCGGATTCATGGTTCTCATTTGATCCTGTGGCCTTCAAACGCTTACTATCAGATTCACTCTGCTCAAACATATTAAAAAATGTAAAAATTATAAGGACGACATCTTTTATATCATCACCCCAGAATTTTTATCCAGAATGTGATCACCTCAAAACAAACAAGAATCAGATAAAAAAGTCAACATAAATTAATTGCAAAAAAGGTCCACTCAAAAAACATTGCACCAAGAAACAGGATGGATCAACAATAAATGATGTACGCATGTCATTCTTTACCAGCTTTCTACATACAGCACATCAATCACATAGGCAGATCCAAAATTTGAACTTTTGGATTCTAATCGGGGATTCCAACACAACTCATTTGATTTACTAGGTTCAAAATCATTAAGTAGTACCTATATAGTGAATCTTTTGAATACAAAGTTTGAGCCAAAGCTACTATTCCGATCAAGAACCCGTAACTCACCCTCTACATCCGTCCTTGATCAATCAGCAAGATAACTGTGTAACTTATCGGATAGCTATTTCAGAACCATCTATCAATCAATCAACTAATCTTCAACCCAAATTAGTTAGTTTGTTTCGCTCTACTCAGGACCATTTCATTTCAATACTAAGTAATTATTGTTTAATCAAATAAAGGAACTAAAGGAAGGCAGAATTAACCGAACAGCAGCATTAATGTACACTACAGTAGTTGCCACAGCAATGCAGTAAAAAATTGAAGATAAATTTCAATAAGAATACCAAGCCATTGCCACTAGTTGAAACTCCTTTAGCAGATTCGTCATCCTCACGTCGTTTCCTAGCTGAACCGCTTCGGTGATTTGTTCTGTGGTCGAGAAGCATGGGATCATTGATCGGAAAATGGTGATCTCCATTGGCATACGGCATGGCGGCGCCAGCATTGATCGGAAAGGGCCAGATCTCGGCCAAATTAAAGGGCGGATTAGGGGCGGCAGCTTGAAATGCTCTAGCTTCATTCATCATTGGATCCATTTTAGAAAAATGCTAATGTAAAGACATTAATTAATAAATAAAATGTAGAGAAATCAAAGCGGGGAACAAGAAGAGCAGAGTTAAAGGGTGTGTGTCTGGGCGAGATCTCTTTCGAGAGTCACAGTGGGGTGGAGGTTGTTGGGTGCGTACTGTACCTACTGGCGTACACTGACCACCACCACTATTCACTATTCACTGTAGAGAGAGAAAATGAAAAGAGAGATTAAAAAAAAAAAAAAAAAAAGAGCCTCGGGAGTTGAAAAGAAGTGACTTCGAATGAGGTCTTAACTCCCAGTGTTTTCCAACTCACGTGTACTTGATCCATTCTCACTTCATTTATATAGAAAAAAGATTCCTTCTTTTTTTTAAAAAGTATACTATTCCCTCCATTTTAATTTATGTGAACTCATTTAACTTGACACGGAGTTTAAGAAAAGAGAGAATACTTTTGATCTTATGGTGTAAAATAAGGCACATATATTTTGTGTGGCTATAAATCATTCTGTAAAGGTAAATTGTTTCCAAATAAGGAAAGGGGTCATTCTTTTTGGCACGAACTAGAAAGGAAATTCATATAAATTAAAACGGAGGGAGTATTTTGTATCCTATCAAAGGTTTCATTTTAGAGGGTTAAACGGTAAAAATACCACGGCCTAGCCAGTTTTCGGACTGGTCATTCAAAAATAGCCAGCATTTGCTAAATTATTAAAAAATAGCCATTATTTTACTGCAACAGAGACCGGCCCAGCATAATATACTGGAGTTCGGTACTTTGTTGGCTCCAGTATATTATGCTGGACCGGTATATCAACAGTATAATATATGCTGGAGTATTTTTCCGGATTTTGAACAGTGTTTTCGTTCAAATTTATCTTTACATGAAAAGTGGCTAGATTTTGATTACTTTTGAAACTGTGACTATTTTTGAATGACCACTTGTAAATCTGACTATTTTTGAATGACCACTTGTAAATCTGACTATTTTTGAATTTCACCGTTATGTCCCTCTATCAAAGGCAATTGTATTCTCAAAGTCTAAGCTGGAAACTTCTGGTTAAAAATAAAAATAAAATATTTGTTATTCTACCACCGCACCACAAATGGTAGAAGATTCCTTTCTTCGCTTCTCAAATAATTTGTTATTTTTCTCTCCTCTTGATTCATAAAAGAGTTATAATATACTTTTATTAATATTTTGGCTATTTTTATTCCAAAAAATGATGGAACATTGTACGCCGAGATAAAAGGTGAGTCCAACTGATAAAAATTTATTATACACCAAATCATATCAATTTATTTTAATGAGTTGAGTCAATCACATGAAAATATATATATTAGTTAACCATGGATTGGTGAAATTATTTATGTGCTAACATATGAATAATATATATCTATTGACTTAGTGTTAATATTTGATGGGAGTAAATTTTTAGCGTCCTAACTCATCTATATATAAATGAGATTGTTATTCAGTTTTGATTGGTTTTACCACTATGTAGAGTAATAACAACGGTGAGACTATATGCACTGAACGGAGTAATTAATATTCTTAGTCGAAAAATTATACTTTGTACTCAGTATAAGTATAATATTTTTAAAATTTTAATTAGTTCTATCACTAAATGTGTAAAAAGCATTTCACAACTATTTTTTTGTTCTTTTCATTCCAGGTCTAATGCTATATCTATATACATAAATAATTTTGGGAATGAGAAAGCTGATGTGGCATGCCTCAAATGCCAGCATCTTTAATTATCTTTTTCCTTGATTTTTTGGTTTTTCCCCTTATTTAAATGTAATTACTCAATTATTAGAATTCTTCCCCTATATATTATTATGAGTCTTAAATAAGGGAAGAGAAATATAATTATGTGTTAGTAGTAAGCATTCCAAATTAAAAACAGATTTGTTTCACTTCTCCAACCGTTAAAAGTAATTACTATACAATTATGAGTATTAAGTTATATCTAATTTATTATTTTACTGTTTGGCCTTTCAATTCCTTACTTGACATACGGCCAATTTCCAATCAATCTCTCTTTCTCTCTATATATATATATAGGTAAAAATAGCACGGTCTAACCAGTTTTCGGATTGATCATTCAAAAATAGTCAGCGTTTACCAAATCAATGAAAAATAGCCACTATTTTGTTGCAGCAGAGACCGGTCCAGCATAATATACTGAGTTCGGTGCACCTGTGTATGAACTTCCAGCATATTATGCTGGACCCGTATACATTACTGGCTCCAGTATAATATACTGGAAAGTGGAGCACCGATGCTCCAAACTCCAGTATATTATGCTAGACCGGTATATTATACTGGAACTCCAGTATATTATGTTGGAGTATTTTTCTGGATTTTGAATAGTGTTTTCGTTCAGATTTATCTTTACATGAAAAGTGGCTAGATTTCGATTACTTTTGAAACTGTGCTATTTTTGAATGACCACTTGTAAATCTGGCTATTTTTTAATTTATCCCTATATATAGTGGTCATTGGTTTCATCCCAACTACATTGTAGTAAGTTTTTAAATTATATTTTTGTTACTATATATGTTGTTGAAATACCAAATAGCTTCAACAAATGTTCATGTAAGCACACGTATACTAAGACGATGATGATAATGTCATAAATATCTCTATCAAATTTCAAGAGTAGGTGGGCAAGTTTGGCAAGCTTTTGTTTGATGGAGTTAATCCAATATTTTAGCTTTCGTTTGATGGAGTTGATCCAATATTTTAGCTTTTGTTGATGGAGTTGATCAAATATTTTACTTTGTGTTGTATACAACTTTTACTTCAAAGTAATGTTTCTTGCTTTCTTTTTTGAGCGGTTGTCTATGTATCATGGGTATTGCAATGGTGATAGTGGTGACACAAGCATTTTTCTAATCTCTATTATTATTATTATTATTATTATTATTATTATTATTATTATTATTATTGTTGTTGTTGTTGTTATAATTATTTATTATTTACAAAGTAGAAAATATGTTCTAAAGTTATTTTTATTTTGCTAAGTTTTACTAAAAGATTCCTTGGTCATCGTGTGAAGAATACAGCTTGTATCATATTTATAGAAAAATCACGTTACACTACTCTAAAACCAATAGATGTTACTATGTCATTTTTTTATGTTTCCTCTTATTTTACCCAATTAAAGGGTGTGTGGCATCTCTTATCGGCCAACATTTATATTTAGATGTGTATACAATGTGACTACGAAAAATAGATCAAATGATGTAAGAATATTTTTTCCTCTTTAATAATTTTTTTATAAAGTAATTACATGTTACAATACATAAAGGTCATGGTATAACTTTTTTTAGGTTGACGATTCATGTTACTTAAACACAAGAAAGAAATTTATAAAGGAAGTAAGGTAGGAATAAGTAGAAAAGGGACAAAAGTAACTAAAGAGATCAAGGAATTGAAAATCAAAAAAAAAAAAAAAAAAAAAAAAAAAAAAAAAGAAGATAAAACAGTAAAAGAAAAAAACTAGAAGAAAAATAATAGGCAAAAAGTTACATGACTGGAATGTAACTCAATAGTAATAATTGTTATTGTAGTATTCTTACTTTTCATTTCATGTTCTTTTAATTTAAAAATTTTAGAAAATCAAATACTACTATTAGAGAAAGGACGAAGATAAATATATCATACATTCGTGTATTATGTATTAAACTAAGAATTATGTATTAAAAGCACATCACCACGCAAAAGTACAAATTTCCTTGAACTTCTTTTTTTTCTTATACAAAAAAATTCTGCCAATGAAAAATGCAATTCACTAAGCTCAAATTCTAATAAGAATTAGTATATATTTGTGGCTTGATCAATATATAGAAATATTTCATTTATGTTTATTAATAATTAAAAATTATTATTCTATCCGAATTGAATTTATAAATAAGATTATTAAATCCAATAGAATTTTATTAAATCACGCGAAGTGCGGGCAAATTCTCTAGTTAGTATATATAGTTTAAATCCATTTTTATAATCTTTTGGCGCAAAGAATGCTTTTAGTGTAGTTCTAAAGATGATTCAAAATTAATTTAGCTTATAGGTTAATTTCAATCTAAGTGTGATATTTTTGCATTTTAATCTTTCTATAAAGACTAAGATATTCCTCAAAAACCAGTAAAAGAATCTTGAAAATATTAAAGACTAAAATCATTAATTATGAGAAGATTTGCAATTGTAAATTCTTTTATGTAATTTTTGAATATTTACATTTAATTTTATATTTTTGAAAGTAGGTACTAAAGTTCATTCTATTTTGGCACCAGTAAACAGATAGTACCAAAAAGATTAAGAGTGGTGGAGTATTATAAAATTCACATGTGATGTGTTGACATTCATAGCTTCTTTGTTTTTAGACTTGGGTACGAACTTGCTCCATTTCCTGACTTTTGTTTGTCATTGCTTTTGTGAGGCTCATAGATAGGCAGCCTTTTATTTCCAGCGGAGACCATGCTCAACTCCATGTCATGGGCACAAGTCGCAAGTTCTTCAAATTGTTACCTTGCAAGATATAGCGCAGTCCCCAATGCATGCCTTGGATGCACATCTCTAACTACTCCACAAAAACCGATGACGCAAAGAAAGCTTTTAGTGTAGTTCTAAAGATTATTCAAAATTAATTTAGCTTATAGGTTATTTTCAATCTAAGTGTGACATTTTTGCATTTTAATCATTCTATAAAGATTAAGATATTCCTCAAAAACCATTAAAAGAATCTTGAAAATATTAAAGACTAAAGTCATTAATAATGAGAAGATTTGCAATTGTAAATTCTTTTATGTAATTTTTGAATATTTATATTTAATTTTATATTTTTGAAAGTAGTTACTAAACTTCAATCTATTATGGGAACCAGTCAAATTGGCCACCAATAAACAGATAGTACCAAAAATATTAAGAGTGGTGGAGTATTATGAAATTCACATGTGATGTGTTGACATTGATAACTTCTTTGTTTTCAGATTTGGGTACGAACTTGCTCCATTTCCTGACTTTTGTTTGTCATTGCTTTTGTGAGGCTCATAGATAGGCAGCCTTTTATTTCCAGCGGAGACCATGCTCAACTCCATGTCATGGGCACAAGTCGCAAGTTCTTCAAATTGTTACCTTGCAAGATATAGCGCAGTCCCCAATGCATGCCTTGGATGCACATCTCTAACTACTCCACAAAAACCGATGACGCAAAGAAAGCTTTTAGTGTAGTTCTAAAGATTATTCAAAATTAATTTAGCTTATAGGTTAATTTCAATCTAAGTGTGATATTTTTGCATTTTAATC